TAAATTTAAATTAATTTAAATAAATTAAGTAAATAAATAAATTTAAATAAAATAAAGAAAGAAAGAAATGACATTAATTTAATAAATATATAAAATGACCATGATACCTTGTCTTCACTAATATTTTTTCAAATTTGTGAATCAAATATCCGACGGCGATTTAGTAGAAAATTTCTTGATTAAAAACTTTTCATACATAATTATACAGGGTGTCTGATGCAAAAGTAGCCACCTTGAAAATAGTGGTAGATTGGGTTAAACTAAGGAGAAATATCATGTGCCGCGGTACAAAAGTAACAATAGTTATTGAGTAATTAATTTACACGTCTGAGCGAATGAGGATGCAGAATACGATAGGCCGGACTCGGAAGGCATTTAAGAAAATCGATCGATGAGCGGGAGGTGGAGCGACGCGCGAGATACTATGTTTATGTTTCGGGTCGCCTGTCGCTCGCGCTCGCTGCCGCGCTCGCCGCCGCGCCAAGTTTTTTCCCACCACGGGGTATCTCGCGTGTCGCTCCACCTCCCGCTCATCGATCGATTTTCTTAAATGCCTTCCGAGTCCGGCCTACCGTCTCCTGCATCCTCATTCGCTCAAACGTGTAAATTAATTACTCGAAAACTACATATATATTATTACTTTTGTACTGCGGCACATGACATTTCTCCTTAGTTTAACCCAATCTACCACTATTTTCAAGTTGGCTACTTTTGCATCAGACACCCTGTATATAAATGGCTGTATGGGGGTAATTACGCCAAATTGTGTATGAGATATATCCATACCATAACTGTATGATTGTATAATTCTATGTGATTATATCTATACAGGGTGTTTCAGGGTAAAGTGTCCTAACTTAAAATATGAACTTAGGACCTCAAAGCAAGAAAAAACTTTCCTCTGGAGACATGTCCGTAAACGCTTTGTTTAAGAGATATTGACATCTAAACGTTTTTCATTATAAAATTTTATGAAATTGTTATCGGGTTATAATAAATAATTTAATAGTGTGCTTCAACTTCTTTATTATTAGAAAATATGACAATTTTTACTTAATTATAAATTTTGTTCAAAGTGACGGCCGATTAAGCAGCGGTACTATCCGGTGTCGCCCAAGATCCGCGAGGCCATTTACGAGGAGGTCGACAAAATGTTAGAAGCCGGGATAATCTAGAGTCCCTGTAGTAAGAGTCTGGCAAAAAATATTCTCCGTTTGATTGGTTTGACGCAAAATGGCGGAACCAATAAGGTGTCTCGAATCTGTACTCTGAACGCGGGATTATTATTATTATTATTATTATTTAGTTACCTTTGGTTTGTTCGTTATCGCTTCATTACTGCACTAGTGCAATTAACTAACTGCACTAGTGCAGTAATGCAGCGATAACGAACAGACCAGACGCCATTTTGCGTCAACCCTTGCCAGACTCTTACTACAGGGACTCTAGGATAATCGAGCCGTCGCGCAGTGCGTGGTCGACCCCGATTGTCATGATTAAGAAAACCAACGGCACGTATCGGTTCTGTTTAGATTTTCGCCGCCTGAATAGCGTGTCGAAGAAGGACGCGTACCCGTTGCCGTATATGAACGCGATTCTAGACAAACTAAGGTCGGCCCGGTACATCTCGACTATTGACTTGAGTCAAGCGTATTTCCAAATTCCGTTAGAGCGGAGCAGTCGCGAGCTAACCGCGTTTACCGTACCGGGGAAGGGGCTCTTCCACTTCACGCGGATGCCGTACGGGCTGACCGGAGCGCCCGGCACCTTCCAGCGCTTGCTCGACCGGCTAATAGGGCCCGAAATGGAGCCGCACGCGTTTGCCTATCTGGACGACATCGTGATCGTCACGAAGACCTTTGACGACTACCTGGTCTGGCTACGCCGAGTGTTTAGTCGCATCCGCGAGGCCGGCCTCACAATTAACCCGGAGAAAAGTAAATTTTGCCGGTCACAGGTGAAATATCTCGGGTTTCTCGTGCAACACGACGGTCTACGGGTCGACCCGGAGAAGACGGTCGCTATCGTGGAATATCCGGCCCCGCGTAACATCAAGCAATTAAGACGGTTTATCGGGATGGCCTCGTGGCATCGGCGGTTTATACCGGACTGCGCGACACTCCTCGAGCCCCTGACGCGATTACTTAAGAAAAACCGGCGCTGGGAGTGGGGGTTGGAACAGGGGGACGCCTTCGAGAGCATAAAGTCCCGTTTAATTTCCCCGCCCGTACTGTCGTGCCCCGACTTTGAGGTGCCGTTCTCCGTGCAGACGGACGCGAGTACCGTGGGATTGGGAGCCGTTTTGACTCAAACTATCGAGGGGATGGAGCGCGTGATCGCCTTCGCGAGTCGCTCGCTGTCGGATGCCGAACGGAATTACTCCACCACGGAGCAAGAGTGTCTCGCCGTGATCTGGTCTATTCGAAAGTTCCGCCCGTATCTGGAGGGGTATCAATTTACCGTGGTCACCGATCACAGCAGCCTCCGGTGGCTGCACAACCTGCGTAATCCGACGGGGCGGTTAGCGCGATGGGCATTGGAGCTGCTCGAGTACGACTACGCCATCGAGCATCGGAAGGGCGCGCTTCACCACGTGCCTGACGCGCTGTCGCGAGTGGGCGAAATAATAACGGAATAATAACGGAGGAGGAATGGTGCGCGGTCGCGATAACGGGGGGACGGGTGGTACGACGCACGGGCGGCCGCGCCGCCGCGGTCGAGGAAAATCCGCGTCGATACCCGGGGTGGCGGATCACCGACGAGCGCTTGTATACCCGGAGACCGCGGGCCGTAATCTCGGAGGTAGTCGAAGATCTCGTCCAATGGAAGTTGGTGGTACCGGACACGTCGCGGAGGGACCTCGTGAGGGCGAACCATGACACCCCGCAGGCGGGCCACTTCGGCGTCGAGAAAACCTACCAGCGACTCGCGGCGCGTTATCACTGGCCGCGAATGTTTCGGGATGTCGCCGAATACGTCCGTCGGTGCGACACGTGCCAGCGAACAAAGGTCGAGCAAGCCGTACCGGTCGGATTAATGGGGCGGAGGGTGGTCGAGGCTCCGTGGACCGTGGTCGCGGCCGATATAATGGGACCTCTGCCGACGAGTAAGAGCGGGTACGCGTATCTCTTGATGCTACAGGACTTATTCATTAAATGGATCGAACTCTGTCCCCTCCGGCGAGCCACGGGCAAAAAGATACGCGAGGCGATAGAGGAGCTGGTCATTTTCCGCTGGGGCACGCCGCGAGTCTTGTTAAGGGGGCATATACACCTAGAAGACCAAAAAAACGTTAATTTTCTGGAATTTTTTTCTGGGAAACTGTTGGAGTTATCGGATTGTCGTTTCTTGTAGTTGAAAATGTACATTTTAAAGAAACTTCGTGATTTTTTTTATTAAAGAATCTCGCAAAATGTCGGAGATATGGCGTCGTAAAAAGGCAACCCGG